GTCTGATGTCCAGGGCTTGCTTCTTTAGTTTTGTGCTAAGGCTGCAAGGCTTTTACTAACTTACTGTGTACGTTTAATTGCTTTAAGCCTAGACTGGGCCTACACATAGACCTAGACTTCTCCTTTTGACTGAAGAATCACTGCATGACTTAGTCTACTTTAAGACTAGACTTTAACCTGACTTTAATCTTATGACGCCGCAGCATCCTGGTATGACTCTAGCTGATCCACGCTGTGGCTAGGTTGACTCATTTTGATCCTGAGTTGAATAGGCTTAGCAAAAGGCCAAGCCTTGTGTAGGTTAGCGACTTGCACCTAAATGTCTCTTCCGCTGTGCCTCAGTAACTGCCATAAAACCCCATGGGTATTTTAATTAGCTTTGTGTGACTTCAGGACGTGTTCTAACTGGGTAGGGCAAGACACCTGGGGGTTATTACACACAGAAGGATTTCTCTGTTAACCAGATAATTTAAGCCAAATGTCAAGCTTGTCCAGCACAAGTGGGAGGTATTTGAAAAGTCCCTGTTTCAGCCTTTAGATCACCCTCATCAAGCCTATTCACTTACTGCACAGCAATGAACATAATAGGCAACTGCTATAGAACAGAGATGCACGATATATCATTTAATTGTCATCACAGTACTGGCCTTTGCAGTACTGACACCGGCGGAAGGCTTTAATTTGCAAATAAGCACTTTAAACAGTCAATTTTTAATCAAAATACCGTGTACTGTGAGAGTATAATCACAGTTATATGATGAGGTTCTGTGGATGCTTTGACGAATGAACATGTCCATTTATTCGAGAAAAAAAAACATTTTTTGGTCAACGTAATGCGTCTTTAATACAATGTGTATCACAATTATAACACGTAGCATTCTGTCCCTATTGTTCAGCCCTACTATACAAGCCCACAGATAAACAGTGAGGTCACACCACTGTACTGTAACTCGGCTTATCTCGGAGGCAAAAAGAGCAGACCAGACAGTCAATGATTAACCTGCCGTCCTCTCTACTGCAGGGCAGAAAGTCATAGACATGAGTCGACACGCCACCCCTTCTCTCAGCACATCTCGCTCTCTCATTCTCTCTCTCTGTCTCTCGCTAACTCTATCTCTCTCATCATCTGCTGTGTCATTGCTGACAGATATAGACCAACCGCATACAAAAAAAAAAGCTTTTCCATCACATCTGGATGAGGGAGGGAGGAGAGGGAAGTATGTAAATGAAATAAGGTAAAGGAAGAATGAAACAGAAACAGAGTGATGAGCTTTAAGGAGAAAATAGAGAAGGTGCACTTCAAGTGGGTCACTTTCACTCAGGCAGAAAATCAGGTCAACCACACACACACACACACACACACACACACACCTTAGCCCAGGTGCCTGTAAACTCCTAAAACACCTCAAGTACAGAATCAGTGTGGTCAACACACAACTCCAGCTGATAAGACATTCCATAAACACAAAGACACAGATGATTATAATCTGAAAATATTGTTAGGGACACAACAATACAACCTGTTGTACCGTATTATGACTAGCATGTTAGCTTGAGGCCAACTTAGCTTGTGACTAGGGCAACAGATTGGGACACTATAAAGCTTCTGGTTCAAATGTTGTAACCTTCTAATTCTGAATGTTCTATTTGACTGAAAATGGAAGCCTATTAACATGGGGCACGTTTTTAGCAACTACCTATCGTTGGTGTATCAAAAAATGTATCGAGACCTGGTAGACCATCAAAACGGTCACCAAAGCTTTCAGAGAGAGAAGAAAATCAAGCTCCACTCTTGCTTCAGATCTGAAAAAATCCACAGCATCAACACTATGAGTCTAAAAGGATGTGTAGCTGTCAAGAAGCCCTTACAGAGGAACAGAAACAGACAAAAAAGAAGAAAATTGCAAAATCAAAGAAGCTGCTGGTGTTCTCAGAACAACATACTGGCCACCCAGTCCAGACCTCTACATCACTGACTGTGTATGAGCAGCAGACTGAACTTTGAAGGTGTTGAGAAAACATCCCTACTCATTTCTTAGGAACACTGAAAAGAGTTTCCTGAGATATATATATATATATATATACACACACATATACATATATACATATATATATATACATATATACATATATACATATATATATATATATACATATATATATATACATATATATATATATATATATATATATATATATATATATATATATATATATATATATATATATATATACACACACATATATACATTTTCACTGGAAATGGAAGGTGGCCTCTGACATGTGCACAGTACTATCTGTATTCTACATACTCATCTAACAATTTATGTAGCACACAAAAGCAAACCTTATCTCAAAAGAAAGCGATCTCTTATCTCTTGATGTCCATCAAGGCAGAGGACTCAACTTTTAGGAAGATAGGAATGCAACCACACCCTTAAACATCAAGGTAAATAGGTATAAACAGAACCAGCATGCTTTGTGTGTGCACCTAGGCCAACACTACATGGGTGATTTACCAGAGTAAAACTGTGACCACATTTCTATCACTAACCTTAGGAAACACTGAGGATGTTACTTTACACTCTGGTCGCATTTCACTGCTCAACATGAAACTACTCCTACAGCGCTCTTCCCTTTTTGACATGAGACAACAACGTGAAAAAAAGAACCTGATGGCTCTTTATGTGCATGTGAGAGTCACACCCAAGTGTGAATGTCATACTTCGGAGGCAAGATCCGGATATGACCTAAAGAAGGACGTTGAACAAACACTTGCTACTACAGTAGCGAACAGTGAATGAATACTGTGGACCATTTAGCACGAGCCATACGCATAAAGTCTTAGGGGTGAACCACATGAACAAAACACCATAATAATTCAGTTACTGCAATTTTGATGCACCTGGTAATATACTAACACATTGACAAACGCTTGATGTGTCATGGTTAAAGGTTTTAATTTTATGAATCACATGAATGGCTTTGTTCATTAAAACACACCAAGAACATCTGATATCGGTCAGGATTTGCAGCACACAATGGAAAAAAGGAGCAATTAGCTTGAGGCTCATTTGCATACTACTCTGTCTACCCATTTCAGACATCCCACGACACAGACAGCTAGTTATTACCCAACAGGGTCTGCTATGCTGGCAGTAGACCTGTCTGCTGGCTGTGCCCAAATTTGGGGTTCAGGAGTGGAATTTATGGTCCCACATTGGTACAATTAAAGACACCCACAAAACCAGGCAACACAGGCATGCATAATTACACTAACTACAGGCTAATTCTGCGTCCCCGAGGTTGGGCTGGACGAAATCAGGGTGTGCACGCATTCCCCAGAACTTTGCCGGTGCTGAGCTTCCCTCCCCGCAGCCTAGAGCGATTCTTATCACCACAAAGAATCAGAATTGAGGGCAACCTTACATTTTACAAAACCAAAGAACACACTATGGTACAACACACAAGAGAAGTTGTAAATGTGCCTGTGCTTTGTTACTCCAGAAAGGTTTGTCAAAATTTGGGCCTACAAGTGCAACAGCCACTTTATTAACACTGAATTAATTGTGGGATTGTAGAAAATGTCCAAATTTTCATAAAATCCGCTTGCTTTTTATTATTATTAACTAGGCCTGATTATACATTCTGCAAATGGTGACATTCTGCAAATGTGATGATTATCATACAACAGCAGCAGCATGGTAGCTAAGAGAGATCCAAGCAGAGATCTGATTGGATGCTTCAGGGCTGATCCAGAATCATTTTCCACGATTCATTGCTGAAGTACTGCGCTTGTCACAAATGATCTGGCTGGTTGCAGATCAGTGACACTACTTTCCACTGCTTTCAATATAAACAGTCAAGCTTGCTAATCTGCCTTCACTCTCAAAAAATATGGTTCTTCAAAGGTTCTTTACTAAAAGACAATGGGCCTATATAGAACAATGAACACTCAAAGAACCACTTGCATGCTTAAATGGTTCTCTGCATAGTGAAATGGTTCTCCAGATTAATGGATAATGTGTTGTATACGGTTCTAAGTAGCACAAAAAATAGTTCCGCTACTGTTACGATATCCAGCTTGTAACAACAGAAGAACCCTATTTTCTAAAATGTACTATATAAAACCATATACAACACATTTTCCATCAATTTGAAGAACCACTTCACCATGCACATGGTTCTCTGAGTGTCCATGGCGGTATACAGAACCAATGTAGTTACTAAAGAACCATCTTTTTTGAGAAAGTAGCTCAATATCTTTATTCAAACGCCAATTATTTTGTTCTCCTGTAAATGTGGGCATACTTTAGGGCTTTTTTGCCTTGTGTGCATCCACCCATGCGGGCTTTAAGTAGGTCCCTTAACAAACACGACATCCACATTTATCCAGGCGAACCTCAAACTGAAAAACACGTTAAGAGATCCTAAGAACCCGGCCGTCTCCCGGTAACGCTATACGTCACTCAGCCAGATAACCGGAATCGGGCGGTGACGTCACCGCGTGCAACACTATGAACTATCCGAGTGCAGTTAGTCGGCCAGCAAAGCCCCCTCAGTACAGAGCAGCCGAATTATTCTCAAATTAAAGTCCCTAATCACACTAATGCACTGCCTGCGCGGCTCTAAACCCGTCCAACGGGCTCTCGGCTCCGGCACAGGCTCGGTTTATTGTCTTCCTCCCTCCATTTTTTGCAACTCATTCATGCGAGCAAGTTGTTGCTTCCTGTCACTTACTTGCTCTTTTTTGGCCTCGCTGGTTCAGTTAGCAACACCAAGCTCCTTCAAACAACGGAACAACCCTCAAAGCCCGTTTAGGTCATAAAACAGAGCGCGCACGGTCAGTAAAGTTTGTAAAAATCACTTCAGTTCAGGAGTTGCGACCGCACGTCCCGCCCAGCGAAGTGGCCAAGTTGCCCTCCTTCCTGGTTCACTGCACTTTGCTTTTTCGAGAAGATGGACGGCAAAATTACACGGAGGCAAAACTTTGAACTCACCTGCTTTCCACGCTCTTTCAGGGCTGGCTTAACGAGAACGGGGGGGCTGCAGTGGTTATCCCGGTCGTGGCAGCGTTGCAAAGCCTCCTCCAAGTCCGCTGCAACCTCTGTTCAAACTAGCGAGCGCTCTCTCTCTCCCCTCTTTCGTCTCTTTTTCTTTCTCTCTCCCTCTCTCACACGCTCTTTCTCTTTTTTTCTCTGTGCTCTCTCACTCCCTCCCTCTTCCACCCGCACTATTCCTCGTCTACTGGCTCGGCTCGGGGTGCGGTCCAGCGCGGGCGGGGCTTGTGTATTGCACGCTGCGCCCACTTTATCTCTCAGCCACTCAGCATCGAGAGTGCAGAGGGCTCCGGCCAATCAGAACTGGTCAAGTGGGAAAATGGGCGGGAGGGGCAAGTCTGAAAAAAAGTAGAATGAATTTGAGGCGGTTAGGAGAGCCTGAGCGAGTCACTCCCAGAGTTTAATGTTTAATGAGGACGGTATGTGCAAGCCAAGGACTTTTATGACCATATAAGTAGCCGGGCTGTGCAGGATGGACTACATCAGCAGCCCTCGACCCCTCGTGTCACTCTGCCTGTAGCTCCACACACTCCTACAAAACACGGAGGAATGCCAGGAATTACAAATGCAGTCCACAACACCCCCCCATCACCACCACCAACACCACCACCTCCCTTTTCCTCAGTTTTTTCTTTTTTTTTGTGCACTAGATTAGTCCTACGTTTAGTTCAGTCTCCCTATTTTGTACACGTTTTCTTTTCTTTATTCATTGCTTGTTTACTTAATGGGCTTACTTTTAAGGGATGAGGGATGGTCTTTTTTTTATTATTAACAGAATGTATGTTATGGTATTTATTGATATCAATATCCCCATTTTTCTTTGCCTATGTCTTTTTAGTTTAAAGTCTTTCAGAATGGGTAATTATTACATTTCTTACATTTAGTTCAATCTCTCTATCTTCTCTTTACCCATTAATTTTCTAATTGTTGTTTAATGGCAGGCCTATGTTTGATAGCATTTGATTTGTGAATACACTTCAGGTAAAAGCAGTGTTGGCTGTCTTTCCTTATCATTTTTACACGTGTTTGTTAGAGTGCAGTCTGGTGATGGTATCAGGACTTAATAAAGATGTTTTGTTCCCGTAGTCTGTGTTTTTTTTTACTCCTGCAGGATCATAGTATCCCTGTTTGATGATGAATGGAATTTTCCACATACCTCACCTCATATTCATCTGCAAAAGACATGCAAAACAGGAATTCATCTCTGAGTGAACATCTAGAACCTGTAGGACTTAAGACTAAGAGAGCGAGGGCTGCAGTCCAGTCTACAGAAAAAGGTAACCTGAAAGGCCTAACTAGGTATAATTATTACATTCCATGTAATCAAGTGTGATTTTGATCAATTTGAACTGTTTTGAACATTTTGTAATGATAACACTTTGACGTCTCCCGGAAAGGAATTTACGTTTTCACTCTATCTTTGTCCGTCATATTTACCTGTTTGGTTTTAATTTCATTCTGTTCAGTTGGTTCAGCTCCTGGACTGCTTTGCTGTTGTCTCACCTCTCACTTTAAGCTTTAGCGTTTATTTTAGAGCAACATAATCTCAAAAAGAGAAGAACAGACTCTAACAAACTTCAGTTCATATATTGATAAGATGCTGAATGTACAAGCCCAATTCCAAAAAAGCTGGGACAGTAGGTAAAATGCAAATGAAAACAGAAAGCAGTGATTTACAAATCTACTTTGACCTGTATTTGAATGCAAACAGTACAAAGTCAATATTTGTAATGTTTTACTTTATCAACTTTAGTCATTTTTTGTAAATATACCTGCATTCTGGAATTCATGCCTGCAATGCATTGTAAAAAAGTTGAGACGGGGCAATTTAAGACTGGGAACATTGTGAAATCGCCTTAAACAGGTGATGCAATCATGATTGGGTGTAAAAGGAGCATCCAGGAAAGGCTTCATCCTTTATTAGCAAAGATGGGTCATGACTGACCACTTTGTCAAAAATGCATCAGCAAAAATCCAGCAATCCAACATTCCTCACACAGAGTGGGCAAGAATTTAAGTATATTACCCCTTATGGTTCATAATAACATGAAAAGATTCAGGGAATCCATTGAAAACTCAAGTCAAGTCAAGTCAAGTCAAAAGTTATTTATATAGCACTTTTTACAATAGGCGTTGTCACAAAGCAGCTTTACAGAAAAAAAATCCTGGTCCGAGCCCCCTTGCGCAAGCCAGTGGCGACAGTGGCAAGGAAAAACTCCCTAAGAGCAAGAGGAAGAGGCCTTGAGAGGAACCAAGACTCAAAAGGGAAGCCCATCCTCCTCTGGTCGACACCGGATAGCAAACAATAACAGCAGAGAATAAGGTTTGACCATCAGTCTAGGTCTCTATAAATCTGTGCGTAAAGAGCAACGTTGAAAACCACAACTGAATGCGCATGACCTTCAACCCCTCAGATGGCACTGCGTTTTAAAAACCAGTATGCCTCTATGATGGATATCACTGCATGGGCTCTGGAATACTTTAATGAACTGATGTCAATAAAGGATGTTCAGCGATACATTTAGAAATGCAAGTGAAGACACTTGTACAATGCACAGTGGAAGTCATATGTCAACAATGTCCAGAAACGCCGCTGACTTCTCTGGGCTCCAGCTCATCTGAAATGAACTGATGCTCACTGATGAGTCAACCTTTCAGATTGTTTATGGAAACAATGGAGAATATGTTGCGCCATTAACACAGAACACATGCTGCTATCTAGATGTTGTCCTTTTCAGTGACGTCTATGTTTATTTCAACATGACAACGTTGAGGCACATTCTGCACGTTTTAGCACAGCATGGCTGTGTAAGCAGAGAGTGTGGGTGCTAGACTGACCTGCCTGCAGTCCAAAATTGAAACGTGTTGCATTATTAAGCTCAGACTACAACAATGAAGGATCTGTTCGGTTGCACAGCTGAAGACTTGTAAAACAGAAGAATGGAAAAAAAATCCACTTTTAGAAAGGGATCAGTTGGTGTCTTCAGTCCCCAAAACGATTATTAACAGTTGTTAAAAGGAAAAATCATGCAACACAGTGGGAAACATGCTCCTGTCTCAACTTTTTTGGGACGTGTTGCAGGTGTCAAATTTGGAATGAGGGTATATTTATAAAAACAATGAAGTTCATATGGTAAACATTAAACACTTTCATTTCAATACAGCTCAAATAGCAGTTACTAATCACTGCTATCTCTATTCTTATTAGCATTTCATATGCTGTCCCAACTTTTCTGGAATGCTTGTAAGAAGTTCCACAGCAATTCTACACGGAATCAGTAGAGGAGTTTTAGAAACTGATACTCTTATACTCATTTTTTGTAGCTACTCTCTCTCTCTCTCTCTGTCTCTCTCTCTCTCTCTCTCTCTCTCTCTCTCTCTCTCTGTATCTCTCTGTATCTCTCTGTATCTCTCTCTTGGGGGGGGCCTGACGCCAGCCGTTCACAAACATCCTGGGCTTCAGAGAGATGCTGTGACGCTGCATGTCATGCAGACACAACATTCACAAGAAAAATCAATTGCACTGAGCACAAGTTGTATTAGCAAACAATGCTAATACATATTCAGCCTTGGCAGCAGGAAGGTCCTTCTTAAAAGCAGCCAGAGCACTTAACTGTGTCTCTCTGGCACAGGGGATGCCTAAACTTTGCGGGCCAAATGCACTGCTTGTGGTTGGCCGAGGGCTGAAAAGACAAAACATTATACGAATAAAGAACGCAGGTACACTATAAAAACATAATACAGTGGCATCCAAGCACGCTTTGATTTCATGTTGCTTTGCGCATGTTTAGCCGGCCTGTATTTTGTACCAAAAACAGTAAGAAAAGGCTTTCGGTTGCATGTTCAGCATGTTAATGTTTAGAGGTTATGTGAACGTTTGAGCAGGATGGTAGGTGCTGGGTTTTGGGAGTGTGAGTTGCCATTAACTGTGTTTTTTTTCCTGATTAATGACCCCGGGTGGGATTTTATGGCTGAGCACGTCCGCGTTGAAGGTTTAAAGAGCAAATTTCCTTCTATTGGATATAAGAGCCATTTTCCGCTTTGGTACTCTGGCGAGTCAAAATCAAGCTGTGTTGTGGACACGAACTTTGAGTTATGTACGCTTCTTCTGTTTGCCTCCCACGCTACAATACTACTATAATAGGAAAGTAACTGTATAGTAAAAAATATGTTCCCTCATTGGATGAGGTGAGGTTAGGGTGACCCTTTGCCAGGGCAAATCAAACATGCTCACTGTGGGAGGCCCAGCTCAGTCTCATGAAGCAGGATTTTTGCTTAGCCAGCTAACTTTTAATTTGATCTAACCTTGGATTTTCTATCTCACGACCATGAATCACTTTTTACCAGGCTACATCACCATGGCAACTTATGCAGCACGTCTGCTGCAGGGCAGGTTATGTTCAAGATTTTGGACCAATCAGGGCCGAGCTTTAGACCAATCAAGCACAACTGGAGTCCCCTCCAGTAACTTTTCTTTTTGTGATGTCATATACATTAAGAATACTGCTTTTTAGCAAAGGAAGCAAATCATTCCACATCAATGATAAAATTATAAAGCAATTATTACTTCAATAGGCACTAACACTGGTGCAGTGGACACACCATTGCATTTTGCTGTTATAAACACTTTATTTCCTGTATATTTAAGTACATTATTTTTCTCCGCCCGCTTGTGCATAGCTTGTGCAAAGTCATTACACTTTGTTTAGAGATTACAGTAAAAATAAATAATTTAGTCTTTTAAATGATATGATTAACTGTGTTTAGTGCAACCAGAAACATGAACTTACAAGCTGACTTTTAAAAGGTCTCTCACTTACAAGTGAATATAGCCAACAATAGTGTCAGAAATGTAATATATCAGCAGGTATATCTTATATAACTACATCTTATTCTGATCTGCATGTGTAGAGATTCTCTCCTGTTATATATTAAAGTATAATTATATAGTTGGGTTGCTTTTTCCTTTATAGTCTAGCCGTCTAGACAAAGGGGCTCTTTAGGAAGTTGCTCTAAGGGCCTGATTTTTTCCCAGAAATTGTGACGTAGTGTGATGACAGATGTATAAATTGATAAATCGGGCAGAGAGCTGCCACAGTGGAATGTGTGGAATGGGCCTTATTTGTTTATGGAAGCTTTCAGCAGCTCTAGATCATCTATGACAGTTAACTTGG